AAGAGTTAAAGTAGCATCAAATAGTTCAATATGTATGCAATCCTCTCTTTCTGTCAACCACTGAGCACTTCAGCTTTATTAACTCATTTAATTTCTACTACAATCTTATGATGTTGTTTTTATTGACCATTTTCCCTATAGGAACACCAAGGCAACAAGATAAGAAAATTGTACATATAAAGAAGTCATAGATGTGAAATGCAGTCTGATGTCACAGCCCAGGGTGTTGACAGTGTTGCTATTCTGCCATCTTTATTGGGGAAGGTGGAGACTGGGCTCCACAACATGTCTAGGGTCCAGATCTTTCTTCCATTGTTTATTTTTGTGATTTGTGGTAGCTCTAATAGAGGGCACAGATGGGGACAATGTACAAAGAGCATCAAAAGAGAGTATTTGTGTCACTGGGGCTCAGTGTCACCTTGCATGTTGGCTGGTCAATTCCTTTGTGTGACCCAAGGTGAATCACCTCCATTCCTTCAATTTCCTGCTCAGGAAGGCAAGGATGCCAAAACCCACATCACTGGCGTCTTGAGTTGTTTCATGTCACCTACTAGCGAATGTCAGGTAAGGGCTTTATACACTGTAGTAGTTCTTGTAATTGGCCTACTTATTTCACCTAGGAGAAAAAGGCTCTCAGTAGAATTTATTTGCCCAGACTACCAGCATGCAAAGCTTAAGATTTACTTTATTTTTGACAATGAAGTAGATCTTTGGAGTATGACAGATTTCTAGGTTAGGGGTTTTATAGTTGTGTGTAAAGTGAAGAGAACTTTGCCATGTATACATCTTCCCTTGTGATCCAATGACAAACAGCTGCATGAGGTCTCAGGCTCATTCATGGTGGAAAACCCAAAATGTTTGTACTGTGTGTTTACTTGCAGTTAAGCCTTGGGAGAGTTAATGGTGAGTTTTGGAAAGAAAGTCTATAACATAGTTTCATTTGGAAAGAGGGAAAGGATTTTGTTTTTTAATTTTAATAATGTGTGCCAGGTATTGTACCTGGATCGAGTAAATACATTTCATTTTTATGATCACTGAGCAATTAGCAGAGGCTGTCTGTGATGCTGTGCTACGATGGATTCTGAGCCAGCAGGGAGGAGTTCCAGGGCTGGGGGTGAGTGGGTTAGAGAATAGACTGTGTGCTTCTTGCTCAGGATGTAACCATGACAATATCACCCCGAGCCCCAGTCTGAGTCATGTTATATTACAATCTCACTCTATGAATAAAGTACTTTGAAGATGCTGTCTTGGACTGTTTTCTATTGTGCTCTGCAGGTATGGCAGTATTTTATTCATATATTCTATGACATTTGGTACTTTTGGTCATTTCATTCTATCTTGATACGACCAATGTTAAAGAGCTTATTTTCAAATGGAAGTTATTATTTGTCTTAGATAGATAACAAAAGCATCATCCCTGCCTTTTAAGAATTTAGAGTTTAAAATAGACACAGTATGGCCAAACAATAGTTTGAACATACATGTATATATATATATATATGTATATACATATATATACATACATACATACATACATACATATATATATATAAAACAGAACCTACAAGTTGAACAAAACATTTTGTTTTTCTAGACTTGTTTCTTCTCTATCTTACTCAGCATGTGCTAATCAATTTGCATATGGGTTTGCAAAAACAGAAAATACTAATGAATCAATTGTAATGGGAAAAGAGTGAAACTGTCACAAAGTCTTACAGTTCATTAATTTCCCCCATACCTCTTATTAATGTTATACTCTTGATCCATGATTGCTGCTGTAGATATTAACTTAAAAAATTCATTGCACGAAATAAAAAATTTTCTTGCCAGTTTTTAAAATATCATTTGGTATGTTCATAAGTTTTGCGGAATCCCCAATAAATCTACTGAAATTTCTTGAATGAAAGGAATGTTAAATCATACTTTTTACTTCTGTTTTCTCCTCTGTCTGTCTGTCTGTCTCTCTGTGTGCCTCTCTTTTGTTCACAAAGAGAACAGACCAGTTTGTCAAGAACCTACCCTAGAAAGTGAGAGATCAGAAGTAAGGGCTCAGAGGAGCTGAGTTTTGCTTTGTCTCATCCTGAAGTGGGACACCATAAAGTGTCTCAGTGTCTCAGGACAATTTGTGTGAACTGTCAGCTGAAAGCACTGACAGTGTTCCATTAGTAATGAATTATGGGAACAATTTTATTAATTTCTTCACCTCTGCCAGTATATATTAGTGTAAGTTACTCAACCAAATATCAAAAGAACCATTGCATTTTAACCTTTGAGTCTTTTTTACTGTGTAGCCAGGAACAGTGAAAAAAATAAATTAATATGGCAGTCCTTTTTTTTTTAAATGACTGGAGATAAGGCATGAACATAATTTTTTCCTGTTTTTAATTTAATAGCAGGTTTATAGTTTTATGCAAAACCATTCACATTACATTTGACCCTCTGGGCGCTGCTTTTTCTTTCCCCCCCACCCCCGTGGATATAATTTTGAGTCTTTAATAATCTGTTGTTAAATCCACTCTGAGTTTGATTAATGAATTGTGATGAACCCATGCATTAATTTGCAGGTTTGGTCTGATGCCCTAAAAGGCTGCTTTGTTGTGGATGTATTATTAATGTAACCTCTTCATGAAGAGGGCCATCGGAGGGCAGTGTGACCCAAATAATGGACAAGCTACACATCTGGGAGTTTCATTCATGCAGCTCTACAAGTGAAGGTGCAGTGATATTATTTCAAAGAGAGAATCCTGAGTTGGTGGAATGCCCTAGAATGGGGTGGGGAGGGCGCAGACCCTGAGGAGGGGTGTCTGTGGAGGGAACTCAGGGGAGTTGGTGAATTGAGCAGGAAGAAGTCTTCCATTTGATTAACTCCTAACTGAAACATAATAGTCTATTCAATTATAAATGTAGTCATGACACTGAGGAATTATTAGCCCAATGTGTGACTCTGTCATCACTAAGAAGCCACAGATCTTTTCAGAACATGGTACAGGATTTATAAGCATCCTTGATGCTTATAAAAACAAAAACACACCAAAGCAACCTCATTAAGATACCTGCTCACCTAGTTACTTAAAGTAAATGTATATATATGTTTATACATACATGTATATGTAGATATATATATGATTTTATCAGTAACTTAAAAATATGGATTAATTTAATTGATAATCTTTTAGACATTTAAACATGTAATTCTGAAGCTGGGTTGGGCCCCGGTGGCTCATACCTGTAATCCTAGCCATTCAGGAGGCTGAGATCTGAGGATCATGGTTCAAAGCTGGCTTGGGCAGGAAAATTTGTGAGACTCTTATCTTCACTAAACTACAAAGGAGCTTGGCTAGGGCTCCAATAGTAGAGCACTAGCTTTGTTTAGGAACAGTGCTCAGGAACTGAGTTCAAGCTCCAGGACAGACAGACAGACAGACAGACAGACAGACAGACAGACAGACAGACGGACACACACACACACACACACACACACACACACACACAATGTAATTCTGAGAAGGACCCTTCCTTCTCAGAAGTCTATGGCTTCCCATGGTGCTGTAGAGGCTATTGTCTATGCTACCATTGCTTCAGCTGGAGTACCAAGATATTCGGTATTCCTCAGGAAAAGGTTCAAGGTCAGAACTTGTCCTGAGTGAGGTCAGATGACAGCAGTATCTGAATCCTGCTGATGCTACCTACACCCATCCTTCCTCCTCCTCAGCAACTGGAAGCCATGAATTATTTGTCTTATTCACTGACACTTCCCAAGCAAATATTTTATCATCTGACCCATACAAGCACTTAGCAACTAATGAACATACAATATAGTTAAGAAATAATTTTTTTGCTTTATTTGAATGACCACGGGTTTTAGAGTCATTTTTTTTAAAAAAGAAATGACAAAATTTGGCATAGACATTCTAAAATGTTTATTGCATTGCAACAGACATTTACAAGCATTAGAAATGTTTATGGGAACTGCTAATAACCAGCTTATTGTCCAGCAGCTCAGTTTCTCAGAGCACTGTAGACTCTCATAACTGATTTATTTCAGAGCATTGTTATAATTAAACAAAGAGAACTAGAATTCTCCAAAGGCAAATATAGCTGCAGAGAGATAGGAAAATTAGATTAAGGAAGAAAATTAGCATGTGTATTGGGAGTGTGTGTAAATGTGTGGATATGTTTGTGTGTCTCTGGGTACACAAAGACCCAACCTGGTAAGAGAGACTTTAGGGCTGTAAGTTGCCTTAGAGATTATTTTTCAATTTAATTTAACAAGTATTGAAACAGAAGCACAAAGAGGTTAAGTGACCACTGACCTCCTAATTGCTAAATCCAATAAACCCTTCTCAGACCTTATCTTATTCGACCACAGGATTGCATTGTGTGTTGTTTACCTTTTCCTTTTCCTGGAAGCTTACATATGGGCCTTTTTTTTGGGGGGGGGGGGTCTTTTCTGCCCTGTTTTTCCCATCCCTGCTTTCTACCTTCTCCCAGGATGATATATCTTTTATACACTTCTAATCTCCTCAGGTAGAGCTTTGTTCTAGTTCAGTGTTTATCTACTTTCTTCACTATTCTTCCTTAAATAGTATGTGTGTGTGTGTGTGTGTGTGTGTGTCCATGTGCATGTGCACATGTGCATGTATGAACATGCCTGTGGTAGTCCTGGGGCTTGAATGCAAGTCCTGGGTATTATCCCTTAGCTTTTTCACTCAAGGCTGGAACTCAACTACTTGAGCCACAGCTCCACTTCTGGCCTTTGGCTGGTTAATTGGAGATAAGAGTCTCATGAACTCTCCGGTCTGGGCTGGCTTTGAACCACAACCCTCAGATCTCAGCCTTTTGCCTAGCTAGGATTACAAGCTTGAGCCACTCGTGCCGGGGTTATACTCTTTAGCCTGTTGTATGCTCCTTGAAGGCAAAGAACACATGAAGTTTTTTCAGATTTAGCAGAGAAAAACATTTGATTTGCAGATAAACACGTTTTCTACCTCCCCCCTCCCCCATGCCTCCCCTTCACAATACCGACCAGGTATGGGGTCTGGGCTGAGGTGTCTATGGGGTAGATTTACTCTGCCTTCTCTTTCTATAGTCAGTGTAAGAACACAGCCTGTGGTCAGCATCTGGACGTCAAACAGGTGTTTTTTTATTCTATGTATGTCCCCAAATTGGAGTTTTGACTGTAAGACATAGACATTCGATATAATACTGGACACAATTATTAAAAATACTTCCTTGTGCATATCCTTTTCAAACATAATTCCTTTATTTTCTGTGGCCCTTCTAAGAACACACAACATGTCTTATTGTATTTAAGGGTTCAACCCTGTCCCTATGTGCTTACAAAATGAAGGACTTTATTCTAGATGCTGATGACCCAGCAGCGAGCAAAATCAAATCCTTTGTCTTCTTGGAGATTATATTCTACTGACTGAATATAGACAATAAATAAGTTAAATATACAGTATGCCAATGTTGTTCACAGCTATGCAGAAAAATAAAGCAGGAAATGGGACATAAATGCTCAAGGATGGAACTGATTTGTTTTTCTCCCCAAACTGGCTGAATGTTGTCTTTCACATCTCAGCTGATGGCAGCTCCTTTTTCCCAGTTGCTTGGATACAGTCCCTAGAAAATCACCCTTCTTTTTCACTCTCACCCAACCTGTTAGGAAACCTTATCTTTTTTACCTTCAAAATATATCCAGAATCTGACCACTATTTCTATCAAAACATCCTTGGTCTAAGCTACCATCAGCTATCACATGGATGATGGCGGTAGTGCTTGAGATGAGCTTTCCTTTTCAACACAGCAACCAGAACGAGTTGTTTACAGGGTTAATAAGATATTTCCATTCCTCTTTCCAAAACAATAGTGCTCCTTGCTTCATGTGGAAAATCACCATCATCAAAATGGTTCTATGGTTCTTCATGATCCCGGACAGCCCCTCTACTCCTTTCTTCTCATGTCACTTCTCTTTCTCACCTCTAGGTGACCAACCTAGCCATCTTCCTTACCCTGGACTCCTGGGTTTAGCACTACAAGTAATAGGCTAGTGCTTCCCACTTGAGCCACAGCTCCACTTCCAGCTTTTTGGTAAGAGTCTCATGGATTTTCCTGCCCAGGCTAGCTTAAAACTGAGAGTCTCAGATCTCAGCCTCCTGAGTAGCTAGGATTACAGGTATGATCCAGGCTTTAGGAAAGATGTTCTGTCTAACCAAGGATTAGACCCAGTTTCATTAAAGAAGTCCCTAACTATTGTTTTTTCTCACTCTTACAAGAATCATTCTAGTAGGATCATTTTGATGGGATTCAGGGTACATGATTATGCCACAGACATTGTACATGAAGCAATTTGTGTTTTGACTGGTGATAAATTGATAATCACCAACCTAGCTAAGCCAGTCCACAGAGAAGCAGTTAATATTGTGAAACTTCAATAAAGTCGGCTGTCAATGCGATAGATATTGCAGGTGAACTCCTTGATCTCTCATTGTAATCCTTTGAATCTCTGTTATCCATCACTCTATAACACATTTGTTTAGCAGGGAAATAGGCTTCTAAAATCTCACCATCAAAGTAAGCCTCAACAATAACACTTCTAAATCTGACACGTCAGTCTCAACAACACTGTCAGAACACTATTTAGCTATCAAATTTAGTGAGGTGATGTAAATTTACAGAAGGACAGGAAGAGATTGAAGAGTGTTCTCTTTCGTTTTCTTGGACAATAAAAAAAGTATTTGAAGTGCTTGCTCTCCCATTTCCTCTTTCCTAAGCAGGCATGAGAGAAATGGGTACCAATATAAAGCATCCTCCTTCTCTGATTGGTCCACATGTAGACTTTTAAAAAGCTTATGTGAGTTCCTTACTGTTAAATCTTAAGTGGTACAAAATAGAGTACGATTTGGATTTAGAAAATAGAGCTTTATTTTTTACCACTGTAAACAAAAGGGTTGGGGGTGTGGCTCAGTGGAAGAACACTTGGCCAGCAAGGCCCTGGGTTGGATCCCCAGTAGTACAAAAAGAAATAAAGAATGTAATAATGATATATGTTCTTTCATAGGAAAAAAAAGAGCCATTCATATTTGTTGTTGTTATCTGGTACTTTTTTTTTTCTGCCAGTCCTGGGACTTGAACTTCATAAGGTTCTGTGCTCAGAGGTAACACTCTACCACTTGAGCCACATCTGGACTTTTGGACTTGAGCTCCACATCTGGACTTTTGGTAGTTAATTGGAGCTAACAGTCTCATGGACTTTCCTCTTTGGGCTGGCTTTGAACCCATCCTCAGATCTCAGCCTCCCTAGTAGGTAGGATTGCAAGGAGAGCCACAGGTACCCAGCTAGAACTTAGTTTTATTATTAAAAAAATTAATTCTTTCTGGAGAGGTTGTATTCCACAAAGGCCAAGTCTTAAGAGTGAAACTAGTCATTACTCCAGTTAGCGTTTCCAGGACATGACTCTTGATGAAGAAGAAGACATTTACTCTTTCTCGGGTATATTTGGAATGTATGGGAACATTCTAATGAATGATCTTATTGTATGTGGTTCAATCTCCCCAGGGAAGAGTTTTCTCTTATTTAATCTCAGGAAATAGGATCAGCTCTGCCAAGGTATTATAGAGCCTAAGGAAACACTTCCTGTATTTAAATGAAGAGCTACAAAGTTGCTTAAAGGGGTTTGACTAATTAGAATTCCAGTGGAGCAAGTTTGGGAAGCGTTTGGACTAAATCTGAATCCACTTCTATTTCTGGTGGGAATTTTGAAGGGATTTTTTTTTTTTTTTGCATAGTTTCCCTAGGCGGTCAATTACAGACCTTCTTTTCCTAGTAATTTCTGAATTCATTATTCTCAAATATCAAAATGCATAAAGGAAAAATACATTCTTTTAGCTATGGTAGAAGATACAGTGATTCAACCAAAGGTTTCTTAGGGTTTAGAAGAAAAAATATGTGGATTTTTCTCATCTTTATTCATCATGACTTTGGAAGAATGGGAAATAAGACCTGAGGTAGCCGAACTCTCTTTGTGATAGCAAGCTTCATGATAACCAGGACATGTGTGTGACCCTCTAAGTACCCTCAGGGCACCATGCACAGCATTTTTGGTACCATATATGTACTCAGTAAACATGCAATTACATTTACTGATGTACATTTTCCTACAACATTTTCTACAACATTCTGGTAATTTAGAGGAAAAAGCCAAACAAAAAAAAGTTCCAAAGTCTGTTACAAGACTCTTTTGACCACTTGATTTGGAATCGATTTTTCTGACCGATAGGGCCTTCCTATGTTAGTAAAACTCTGAGAGTTCACGAAAAGTTTGCTTTGATTTTGACCCTATATTCATTAAATTGAGCAAAATGGTGAGGCGAGAATAATGTTTCAAAAATATTTTTTATACATGTGGTACAGTGCATTATTCTTTCCAAAATGAAAATTCTTTCCAACATGCTAATTAAAGTAAATTTTCACAGGTTTACTGGAAGCACTGAATAATATTTTGATCCTACTAATAAGCAGCAGAATGAAATGTTCAAGAGATATGTGATAATAGCTAAGATCTATTGAATGCTTGCATTAGCTACTGCCTTTATTTCCTTCACATCCAAGAAATTACTTGAGCCTTTCATGCAACATTGAATTTGGGACTATGACCAGCATTTTATATAAGAAAGAAGCCGAACTATTTATATTGATGAATTATGGTTTAGGTAACAAGGCAGATTGTACCCAATGTGGTAATTCACTTTTTATTTCTTTTGCCCAGCTTTCATTAACAATTATGATCATGTATATATAACATGAATCTTAACCATTTTAATGGTTTAAAATTATATAATTTGGTGGCATTAAACACACTACCATATGATCCTACCACCTCCTTTTTCCAGAATGTTTTTCATCTTTACCAATTAAACTTCTGTATTTATCATTCCATGCCTCTTCCTTCCTGTTGTTTTTTTTCCAACCTCCAAAACTACCATTCTACTGCCTGACTGCAAATTTGACTACTCCAGGTATCAGGTGGGATCTATTCTTAATTTTTAGAAATATTTTCCATTTTTTAAAATTCTGTAATTTGCTCTCTCTCTGTCTCTCTGTCTTTCTGTGTGTGTGTGTGTGAGAGAGAGAGAGAGAGAGAGAGACAGACAGACAGAGAGAGAGAGAGAGAGAGTCATAAGGCTTGAACTCAGGGCTTGTGTGCTGTCCCTGAGCTCATTTGCTCAAGGCTAGTGCTCTACCACTTGAGCTACAACTCTGCTTCTGTTTTTTTGATGGTTAATTGGTCTTATGGACTTTCCTGTCTAGGCTGGCTTTGAAAAGATCTTCAGATCTCAGACTACTGAATAGCTAGGATTACAGGTGTGAGCCACCAACAGCTGACTAATAATCTGCCTTTTTTTAAAAAAAAGAGTGATTTGCTACATTTTAGGCTTAATAAATGTTCTTTAAGCCCTAAGTATGTGAGCCTATGTTAATTTTCATAGTTACCTTAAAGCATTTGGATTTTTAATAGCATTTCATCAGGTTTTTTCCCAAGGGCTTGACAGAAGATTTTGAACCCCGTGTATCTCCTGTTTCTCATTCTTGTGTATCTCTCTATTCTAGGGCATCTTAGGGCATTGGACTTGGGGTAATTTTGTTAAATGTTCCCAGACAGTGTTCATGTGCTCTGTGGGATTCCATAAATTTCTGACCCAGTGACATTGTAGGCATACTAGATGAGTCTACAGGGCAGTCTGAAGCATTCTCAGAAGGAAGGCAGCTAGCAAACCCAGAAAAGGAACCCAGGCAATACACATTATTATTTATTATCCAGAGATTGAGATCACCTTAAACCTGTTCACATAAAAAAGCATTAAGAAAAACTAATTTAAAAATAAATTAGTTGTACTTTTCTGGTAAGTCAAGAAAGTCTCACTTTGGTAATCATCCTTTATTTGGGAGTGAAAATAACTCCTCTTTTGGGGAGTCATAGTACATTCAGTGATAGTGGATGGCCACGCGATTAGGGCACTGTGAGAATTCCACCAATGAGTAAAAAAGATTCCAAATGGGCTCCAAACGAAACTATTCATACCATCTTGGTTGGTCAAAGAGGTCTTAGCATTTGAAAGGTGCTCA